AATATCCTTTCTGTCGCTGTTGCGAAACTGCAGCTCCGGAACTGTTTTAGCCATCTTATTTTAAAAGGTTCAAGTATTTAATCTTTACCACCTTTAACATTGCTAGGACACCTTGATGCTTTAGCCAGCCAGACTCAGAAGTGTCAGCTGTTGCGAAGGCAAATAAATTATTTACACCACCTCCCTTAGACTTCAAAGAGCTGACAATACGCTCAACCCCACATTTCGGTACGGGGGTTGGAGGAGGAGCTCCCAGTCACTAGGCAACATCTATGTCATCTGCCCCAACATGCAACAATCAGTTGTTTATTTAACTGCCAAGGCTCAAGAACCTTAAATATCCCTGAGAAATAACTGGGTTTACAGTGGAGTGAAAAAGTAATAAGCACCTTAGACCTTCACAGTTAGGAAATGCAATCAAAAAACTGAATCAAAAGAAAGAAAATTAAAGAAAAATATTAGCTATCCAAAATACCCAGTAAAAAAGTAACTGTCTTCATGTTATATCATCAATTTCCTTTGATAAAACACATTTTTTGTAATATTTTTTAAAACTTGACCTAATTGGTGTCTGTCCAAAAGATTTGAACAATTCTAAAACCTATCTAGCAGCAAGAAGTTGTCTGCAATATCAGAAAAAGAAACACAGCCTGTCCTGATGTGAATAAAATGAAGAAAACAGGAGACAAAAAGTCCTTCTTTTTAGAAGTAAATATTCCTTTGCATGAGTGTTCTACCAAAACTATTTAAATAAATAACCATCGACTCATCTGGGAGGTCTAAGAAGAACAAAAACGCCAAAAACCTAGTTTTAGATAACTCTGGGTCTAATTTTCTTTATCTAAGCTCAATGTTCGTGGTTATACACTATCTAACACAGGGTGCTTCAATCTAGGCCTCTAGAGCTACCATCCTGTAACCTTTAGATGCATCTCTTCTCTAACACCCCTGAATCTAAAGGCTCAATCCCCTCATTTAGCTCAGCAGAGGTTCAGTTCTAGCACAACTCACTATAAATAATGGAAAAAAATGTTTGTTCATCAACTTGACTTAAAGCTCAGAAGCGAGTTGATCAATGATCTTAAGCACACTCAATTAAAAAAGGGTGTTCACATGCAGAAACTTGGGCTGGATGGGATTTTATCATTTAATCCCTAAATAACTAAAGTAATACTTGTAAACAGTATTTTGATATATTCTGCTCATCTTTTTGGTGCAAATTGCAAGATGATTTGAACTATTTTAGTGTTACAAAAAAGAAAAATCTGTAAGTGTACAAACATGTTTTTGTTGCACTGCACGTCTTGAGATGATAAGATACAGAGCCTTCATGTGCGATAATGGATTAAAAACAGATCACTGCATCCTTTTCAGGGAAGAAAAGGCAAGACCCCAACAATCTGAGCAAATGTCAAGGAGACACACAAGGTGACTGTTCAGCTAGAAAATCAGGAAGTACGGCTTGAGCAACATGTCCACTCTATGAACCCTGCCTGTCCAGAGGGAGCTGCTGTTTATTTACCCCCTGCCAACTCAAACACGCAGACAAGGTTAATGAAAAGATCTTTAAACAGAGAAAAAAAAAGACCTCTTAGCTTCCATGGTAAAGTAGGGAAGATCGAACACGTGCTGTGGTCACCTTTTTTATCTTAATAACAAAGCATAATATCTCTTTGATATAGCTCAAATTTCCTTTGTATTTACCCCTTTAAAGTAATTCTCCGATTGGTGTTGGGGAAATATAATGAAAGCGGTTGCTAAGTTGAATCACACTGACTGTTAAGAAATCACTTTACACAATCTAAATGCTCTTTCATCCCTCATTTAGAGGTGTATTGAAGTAAGCCTATCTCTAACACCTCAGGTAAAAGGAGGGATCTCAGTGAGCTGAGATGTGACATAAATCTTTTCTCTTCTCTCCTGGATACACACTGATACTGAGGTGTCCCTGTTAGCCTGTTTGATCAGGTTGTGCCCAGATTCAGTGTGTGTGTGGACATGTGGGAGACCTGGCCATGCGTGACAACAGTAAATGACCACCTATCCGTCATTGGCGCCAGGGCTGGAGATTAACGTGAGCTCAGGCTTGGCACCAGCTGGACCACAGCCTGGAAAAGAGAAAAACTGAGCAGTACTTGATACACAGCTACAGAAAATGCTCAGTTGTTGAGGTTGAGAGAAAGATTGATGTTAAACTGCATTGTGAAGACGTTCAGAGAAGTACTTTGTCTGGAGTCCTAGAGATTTTGTGGGAAAAACCCAGAGAAAAAAAAAATCCCCAGGTAGCAGAGATGAAAAAAAAAAACCCCTCTAGCTAATTTCTAATAAGCTCTTACATTTTCTCTCCTCTCCCTTTCTTATTGTACGTCTTTCTTTCATTGAGTATTTCTGTAAGTATGTGGCTTTTGGGTTTCTGACTTATACAGAGACAGCAGCAAGCAACCACAGGAAGAAACGCTGATGTATGGAGCAGTTGCTGTGGGTGGGTTGAAAAAGAAAGATACAAGTAACTGTATGCGTCCCACCCTGCTTAGCCTGCGTCTAGACTGGCCTCGGTGAAGCAAGTAGCAGTCATAACAAGGGATTGGGAAAGCAAACAGGGTTGTTCAACGTAGTTAACAGTTTTTGCCCATGGAGTTACAACCAAGATACAAAAGCTCAGCATTTAATTGGGGCAAAACAAAGAGCTCAAGAATAACATACAATTATGAGATACACAAGGAGCCAGAGTATTACGTGTGCCAGCAAACCAAAGGACAATCTCACCAGATTGGCACTGGGTAAAGAGCTTGCAACTGTCAATGAGCAATGTGCCAAGACTGTTGGCCTACTTATGAGCCATTCTCTTGTCAATGTCTGACTAAAGAAAGAAACATGTTCATTTTACTTAAATCAAACCCTCCACTTAGTCAAACACATCTCACTGTCTGTCATCAGCGATACCACTTTTCAAACCGAGCCCTCCAGCTATCAGCACAAGTGGATAATTGAGCCAAGGGGTTTGCTTTAACAGGCGAGTTGAGTTTAAAAAATTGAGCAATCAGCTAGCACTATTTTTACAAAGCTGCTCTCATTTCCCCTCTTGTTACTCACGACGCCGCTAAAGATGCCTCTGTTGACAGTGTGGAAAAAGCTAACCATGCTGATGACATTCCCAACATGACCTCAATCAAGCATTTTCACAGCCTGGAGTCACAAAACCATTCCAGCAGCTCCGCTACTACACAAAGTCTCTTTAACCTCATTTTACAATGAATGCAATTATACCAGAATGGTTGTGTGTCTGAGATTGCAATTGGACAGCAGGCTTATTGGCTGCTGCTTTAAAACAGTGAAAACTTTGTGTTCACCTACATCTTAGAGCCAATAGACTCTTTTAACTATTCGTTTTGAGTAGGCTAGAGCTGTTTGCAATACCATTTTCAATAATAAATCTCTTAAACTTTTTCAGTTTGCTTTTCCGTTGCTGAAACTCTTAACAAAACTAATTTTGTTTTATCACATCACCTACTTTATGATGCCATCAGCAGAGTTACTGTTCAAATAAAGGTAAATCCAATCTGGGTATAATTGCCCAACATGTCCAGTGAGAAATTCAACTCAGATACATCTTCATTCTTGCTAAATATAGAGGAAAAATAATTACCAACTCCTCACAATATAACTCCTCAAGGTTATATTCAGTGGCAAATATTGAATTTTTTTTTAACCTGATATTCCATTAGATGAAGGTAAATCTGTTAGCAGCATCACTAACAGTGCTGTCCTTCCACTTTGATATATAAAATGAATGCTCCACATTTTTCAAAGCCCTTGACAATTAGACTGGCTGTCTTTCAACATTTCAGGATGGTAAGGAAGGTATAAAGAGAAAGAAAAACGCCACATAAAACAAAGCCTACTCTTGAAAACTTTAGCTGCAGTTCTTCACCAAGTCTAACAACCACTGGAGGCCATCTACAAAAGGTCCCTTGGGAAGCTTGCCAGAAAAACAGAAGCCCTTCTATCTTATCAAAACAAATGTAAATGCCTGGAATTTGCTAAAATATATCAGGACATGTGCTGGAACTGTTTGCTTTTTCCAATTGCGATAAGATTAAGCTTTAAAAGCAACAAAACATTCTGTTAGGTTTTGCTTAACAGGACAACAAAATCTGAAGAAGTACCTCGTGACCAGTGGAAAGTGCATTGCAAGATCTTTGTTGTTGGCCCATTTCCCTTTCAAAAGCCCTATAACCTTTAGTGCGTATGAATGTATTATCCTTTGACATATAAGACAATACAAAATTATATACTTTGGCCATAAAAGGAATCCAAGTCCTTAGCTGAAATTATAGAACAAAAATGTAAAAAAAACATGACCGAAATAGATTTACTACAGACATCACCCTCCCACTTAATTTTCCGGTCTTGAATTATAGAAAATTGTTTTGGTTGAGCTGAAAAAGCTCAAGATAGTAACAGCGAACCGTCTACATTCTAGAACTGTAGTTTTGAAACAGTAGTACAAGTACCGCTGCTAATAACTGGCCACTTAGGCTCACTCATTGCAAAGAAACAAAACAACCCAACATTGGCTCTTAGCATTATGAGCCAAATGATTGCCTTTTTTAAAGAATCCTACCAGAAAGCAAAATTAACAATGTATAATGTGGAGTCAAATAGCACAGCAGGTAAAAAGACAAGTAGTTCAAGTGCACCAATCCTTCAGGGAGTGTAGAGAAACTAGTGCTTGTGGCAAGTACTCCATTTTCACTTAAGAGTTGGACTTGGGAAAGACTAAATTCAATTTGGAGATATTGTAATTTAGGTTCACATTTAGTTTTTAACCACCATCAACTGTAAACATATTTTTGTTGTGGCTGTCACCAAGTTACATGCAAAGTGGATCTGGTAGATTTTGAGGCCAAGACAAGTGATAAATCTCAAACTCCCATACTCCCCTTGATTTTTGCTGTCTGAGGGAAGAGTTATGTAATGAATTAAAATGCAGGCCACACTTCTATCCAGGCCATTTTTATTGATCGTCAAAAACCCCCTTCACAAAAACCACCCCCCAAAACAAAAAGAAAAAAAAAAAAAAAAGTATTGGAACAATATAAACAACCAATAAATAAAAATCTGCATGATTAAGGCGGTTCTACATCTCCAATAGAACACAAATAGTGTGGACATGTTGGAGTTATACAGCTTCATACAGTACAAGCAGTAGATTTTGTTTTGAGAACATTACATCTTTAAAAGGCCACACTTTACCAAACATTAACCAGTTTTCTTGAAAGTGTGCATTCTAATGAACCACTTTATCACTTCTGTGATTAAACAGAAAATGAGCATTGCTTTGTTTAATGAGCTAATTTCAATATTAAGCCAAACAGAACAGGAAAAGTTCAGGGGCAGAGATCCAAAATCTTCATATTCCTCCACAAACATGTTTTCAAGAAAATATCATAAAAACCAATTGGATCCCAAAACAGCGAAGGCGACTCTTCTATTTATCAGTTTTCTCAGATAGGAATAAATAAATACACCTTTTTTTTTTTACTGGTAAACTGTCACAGAGTCCAGACTTAGAGGCTACATAGTGTCATAGTATTGTTCAGTGGCTTTAAGGATTTCTTTGTTACATTCATGTCCAGGATGAGAAACCATCTCCAACCACAACCTAAACACAAGCTGTGGATATCCAGAATCCTCTCCTGCACACCCAGCTCCACAACTTTAGTTGTACGGTTCTTTGCTCATAAAATCATAACCAAACAAACTGCCTCTCTCCATTCTTCCTGGACAATGCTAACTCCTCCTCCTCCAAGTGTGGCCATTGCAAACAAAGATCCTTTCAGCAGCTGACAGTGCTTGGTTGCTGCTTGCTCACAAAGTCTGAGATAAAATCAAACTCATTCTGGCCCAGGTAGAGTTCTGGTAGCTCCTGGACCCGGTCCAAGCCCAGTTCCATAACCAGTGATGTCAGGACGTCCTCGTCAATCATGTCCGCGTCCATTCCGTTCAGGGCTAACGCGGGCCCAGCCATGTGCTGCATGCTAGCCAGTTGAGCTGGGTTCATGCGGTACTGGTTTGTAGGCCCCATGTGGTTCCCACCCATAGGTCCCAGTGGGTGTCCATGGTACTGGGTGTTTAGCTTCTGCAGCTGCATGCTGGCCATGAGCTGCTGAGACGTTAACCCTCCATTCATGAACTGTTGTTGCTGCTGCTGCTGCTGATGTGGCGCCTGCTGTTGATGCTGATGCTGCTGTGAATGCATGTGATGCTGCTGTTGCTGCTGAGGGTGGTGATGCTGCTGCTGTTGCTGCTGAGGCTGTCCATTGTACATCATGTTACCAGAGGTCATCTGGTGATGACCTATCTGGGCCCCGTTGAGCTGTCCGTTCATGGGCCCGCCCACCATGCTCTGCCGTTGCCTCATGGCAGCCTCCATGCTGGCCTGGTTGCCTCCATAGTGCATCATCTGGCCATTGGGAAGCGCCCTCATACCCTGCTGGTTGGCGTGCTGTTGGTGACCTGCCTGCAGGCCGCCATTCATGCCCATCCTGTAACCGTGGAGACCAGTGCCTGCTGAGCTGTGATTCATGGGCATCATCATATGATCTGCCATGCCTCCTGCGTATGGACATAAAACAGTGTCATTTAGGAAGAGCAAAACTGTCTCATAACAGGTTTAGGACTTAGATGTGATGCCATCTAGTGAACATAAACAATGTTGCAAGACTGGATGTTTTAATCTTATGTGAGACTAAGGGGAAAAAAAGAAAACTCCTTCAGAAATTAATTTAGTGCGTTTCCTTTAATGGGGGACATCATAGCGGAACAAAACATGTGCTTGGATATTTGCCTGGTTACGGAGGAGCACAGAAAAACCCTGGTGGTGCGCTTGATTCTCAAAAAAAAAAAAAAAAAAAAAAACGCTTTCCCCCTTTGTGCCAAAGCAAATAACGCCCAGGTTTAAAATTACAGGTTAACATAGGCTGGGCGCGTTTTCAAATGGAGGAAAATCCTAAACCTTAAACACCGCTTCTTAAATCCCACCTATATGCACGACAGCTGGTGGTGGTGGTGGTGGGGGGGGGGGGGGATCTGTTAGATTTTCCCGCACGTAAGGTTGCAACAAAGAACACTGACATCGTGCAACACATCTAACAGCTGAATCACCACAAAACCAAACGAGGCGTGCAATAACAGTTAAAATAGTGCTTATATTTCCCTGGGATATTATTGTTTATTTATCCCATTTCCCACGCACTAAATCTGTTTCAATGTTTTTTTATTCAAAATAAAGAGTCTATATTTCCGTTTTGTTATAAGCGACTTTGAAACAAGGGAATACAAACAATGGAACACGAGTCCCTGAAACCATCAAAGAGCGAAATCAAAAATCCACATTTCCTCACAACAAATAAACAGATTCTTAAAAAATAAAATAAACATGTATCGCTCACCAGTGTCCGCTGCGTTTTCTCAAAGTTGCGCGACTTGAGTTTCCCTGTGCGAGGCGAAGCTCCTCCGGATTACAGGACGGTTTCCTCGGGGTTACACTTCATGCTCAAAGTAGGGAACGGTGCGCACAAAAGACTAGCGCATCAGATCTTGAAACGACTGCCTATTTTCTGGGTCAACTCAGGGATTATGTACATCTAAAAAGCTCAGAGGAAGGCAAGTCAGAGGGGAGGTGGAGCCTCGGCGCTGTCGCTTCTTTGTTCCTATTGGCCCTACTTGATATAATTGTGCATGGGCGTAGAGAGAAAAAAGGGGCCGTTGGAGAGTTAAGGAAACATTGGTTAATTTAAATACCCTCCACCTCACTCTTTCCCTTTAGAAGATAGATAGATAGATAGATAGATAGATAGATAGATAGATAGATAGATAGATAGATAGATAGATAGATAGATAGATAGATAGATAGATAGATAGATAGATAGATAGATAGATAGATAGATAGATAGATAGACTTAGATTTATTTTGTCAATTTGTATACACAAATGTAAACAAAAAGAAATTTCTTTGAAAAAAGCTCTAGACAATTTCATTTTTTAAAGTGGGACCTTGAAAAACATTAATAACTACATAAAAATAGTAAAATAAATATATGACTGTATATTTACAGCTCTAACATAATTTTTTTTAAATATATAAATAAAATAACCCTTTTTACACAACATTTAGCAGTCTAATGGCAGTGGGGAAGAGACTGTTATGGAATCCGCTGGACCTGCATAAAATATATATATATATATATTACCATTGAATTTCCAGACATAACTCAAAACAAAGCTAAAGAAGTATTTTGGAAAGGGTTTCAAAATAGTTTTTAAGACTTGACGAACCATATTTGGAGTCATTACCCACAACTGGAGAAAACAAGAGGAACAGTAGTGAAGCTTCCCAGGATTGGTCATGTTACAAAAAAATTTAAAAAAATGACACAGAGAGTAGCTTACTCATCAACCTTGATGATTAAAGGCCTGTTTTACACTGGTTAGAATGCAACATGTTGATCTGAATGATGATGTGGAATTGATGCAACAATTCCGCAACATTTCAAAGGGTTTCATGAAGTTCTTAATAGTCCTGCCCCTCTGCTCTTGTATGTTCAGTACACAGCTAGGGGCGTAAGGTGCACAAACCAGCTCTGGTTAAAAGTTCTTAGTTAGGTCCAAACACTGGAGTGAACAGGCGTTCTCAGTCACTGGACCCAATGGCTGTATAACAAACAAATTGCCTCCTGACATCACACCACTCTTGACCTTTTTAAGTACATGCCTAAAAACTAATAATTCAGGTTTCTTTTAATATTCAGCAATACAGTTTCATATTTTTTTATAATCTTTTTGTGGCTGCAAAAAGCAGAACCATTGTGGGACAATACATTTGTTTGTTGTTTTTTTCATTCTGTTGTTTCTAGATAGATAGATAGATAGATAGATAGATAGATAGATAGATAGATAGATAGATAGATAGATAGATAGATAGATAGATAGATAGATAGATAGATAGATAGATAGATAGATAGATAGATAGATAGATAGCTTAACCTCCTTATTACACGTGTTTTTGTTGTGAGCGTGTTACCCTCGTGTGTGTATTCACACTCCATCTCTAAGATCCATGAGATTCCTGTTAGTACATGTGACCCAGCAGTCTGCTGGCTGGCTGCAGAGGGAGGGCAGAGGAATGTAGCCTCTGTGCTATTCTAAGCCACTCAAGCTGCAGGCTGCAGTGTAACCACAGCCACTCCTGGATGTTCATTTGCCTCAATCATGCATTTTACATGGCTCTGGATGCATACATGTGTTTTTCGGCATGTCTTAGCATGTGTGGTTATGTGTAAATTTTGGTCTGTCTACACGTCAATATCTCACATGCACTCATGTCTTTATTGCTCCATTCAGGACAATGACCCCTCTCCTGTTGTTGCAAATGAATAAAAGCACTTTTGGTTTAAGCAAGCCAGTCCATTGTCAGGGTAATTTGTCCATAAACAAGCAGCCACAGGCAGAGGTTTGTCATTGGGTGACATTGTCTATGTTGTAAGCCACTCCCAGGTGTGGAGACGCTTCTGAGAAAATCACCCAACCAGGTAGTGCAAACAAAAACACATTGAAATGAATCAAAGTTTTTGGTTTGCTTGATTAAAAATTATTTGAGTCAAGAATAGCATCAAAAAGTTATTTCATTTAAATGAGTCAATTTATTGCATCAGTTTTGGTAAGAAGTGATGATTCATCCAACTCAGGACATGAGAATGAAACAAGATAATAGAAATATTTTACTGGAACTAAGAAAATCCTCTCTGCGATTCACAAACAGTATAAGATATTATAAACTGGTTTAAAGAACCTGCAATCCCAGAAGAACACCCTAATCAGGCTTTACTGGTCTAGATTTTGCTGTTTTTAAGCTTTTATAATAATATAAAAATGGTTCCTGATACAAAAAAAGCTTCAACATATTTAGTTTATGTTTTTGCACATAATATAAAGGTTTTGTTAATCTTAATGTTTTTAAACTATGTTCATTGTAAAAATCTTGAATCTCAGGCTTAATCAGTTTGAGGGAGAGCTCATCAAATAGGAAAAAAAAGGTACTTCAAAGTTTTTCATAATTAAAAAAACTATTAAATACCTCTTTACTTTTAATGTCTACAAAGGACTCCAAAGAAAATGCCGACATTAACATGGTGAACCAGAGGTAGTCTGGAAACCTTGAGCAGAGTTTCAGCTGGGTTCCTACTTAAAGATAAGCCTAAACCAATTATGGTCTGTTCAATTTGTCTTGGATGCCAAAGCTGGGAATAATGTCACCTACCAAACTGAGCACGTTGTAGTTGCAAAAGTAGTGGGGAATTGTTAATTATTATAAAAGGAGGTTGCACAGAGCCATGTTTGCTACTGGTTTAATGAAAGACAAACTGTTAGAATTGCTGATAAACCACATCCATGCAACGTTCACTACATTTTGCATGTGCATCAACTGTATTGAATACATAATATTATGGATGTTGTGCAACTTCTGACTCTTCTAGAGGTAGTCTTGATATCAGTGAGTATTCCTATTGTATCTCAAACTGGGGGGGTCAAAATATTTTTCAGAGGCAACCATGTGAAAAAAAGTTAAGCACAGGTTTGTTTACTTACTAGTCTAAAGCTGAATGCTTATGGAACTTTCGCTATGCAACGATTGTGGAAGTAAAAGTAGAAAATACATCATTCATATTTTGCATTTTGTAGTCTTTAAAATATATATAGCCCTACTGTTTTAACAGTTTTGATTTTACTCCATAGATTGATTCACTTTTCTGGATGTAGTCATTGTTTTTAGGGGAAGCGATTTCGCAAACATTGCCTACAGCCTCTTGATATCTGACTTTCTGTCAGGACATATACTGTAGGTGTGGCTCCATGTTTGCAAGAAGAAACACAGACACCAGAGAGTTTCACGTGACTATATTTATGAAAGAAATAGACAAACAACAAAAAGACACCTCCATAAAACTTTGTAAAACTGAAAATAAATGCCCCATACAGTTTCATGATAGTTTTATCTTCTGAAGCAAAAATGAAGACTTGCGTTGTTTCACATCTTTTTAGTAACACATTTTCAGTCAGTGATAATGGTAATATTTGTGTTTTCTTTATAATAGCCATACATGTGAAATATACATTTACGTTTACATTTTAAATTTTGGGTTTGCAGTTTCCAAAAGATGGCTTTTTTAAAAAGAGATGTTTTTCTTGTCTTTATGATCCTATCATAGACACTGTGTCTATCTGTGTGGAAGATACTGGATAATCTTTACAAAGTCCAATCTGATGAATGTCTGTATTTTATGGCAGTGAGAGTGCTTCGGTTGGAAGTGGTTATTTGAGGCAAATGCTTGAGAAACAAGATAAGGAGGAAACACTTATAAAGCATCTATGTGCTAACAAGAGGTAGACTTGATTTAGAAACTTTAAAAAGCTTATATTCATTATTAAGGGTGTTTGGAAAGTCTTATGCATATCTTTTTTTCTAATAAAATGCAACAATTACTTTTATGTGAAAACAAAATAAAATTTATTCCTTACAGCTTGTGGGAAATTAGAATGTAAAAAAAAAATCAAACATTGATGATGTGATAGGAACAGGAAATATTTTTTTTTTCACAATTTCTCTCTCTGCTCCAAGCTACCAATCAAACATGATATAATCAATATGCACTGCTTTTCCACTAAATATCTCTGTGTTTCTTTAATAAATAAAAGTCACAAAGGTTTGAAGCATTCAGAACTTTCAGTTTTGTAGCTTGATAACGTTAGTAATTGAACTTTGCCCCACCACATGCTATGTGCAACGTGCCGAAGCAATTAAGACATTTCCCATTGTCTGAAGTCACCAAACTAATTCTAGTGACATGCAACTGATCACCATCTGTGGATTTTTTTAGGTACACCTTATGGTGCTAGTTTAAACCCTATTTTATCACCTTAACCGCTTAACCCTATCCGCCTTTTTTATGTACTGCCTTTTATTTCTAAGTTCTCCAAAACAATACCCATCTGATCCAGTATAGGTATTGGGCTCGGATACCTATGTATTTTACAGATAAGAAAATTCCAATTCAACCCGCAAGCATTTCCAATCCAATGGCTGCCTCTGTGCTGTAATGTTTTGTGCTTGAAAGTCTCCAGTCTGCCTTTTTGGCTGTTCTGCTAGCTGGTTGCTAATATCCAGAAGAGAGCCCAGTTTCCGCCACTCATGAAGAAATCTGTTTCCTGTCAGGAAATCCAGGTTACTGTGAATGTTTATACTTAACATTGACGGTTGCTTTCAGTGGGACTTCCGCCTATCCGTGACCCGGTTTGAGCCACTGCTGTCCTGGGTTGGAGAACAAATCACCTGGACAACAGAGGTAGGGTGAGACGCCATTATGGAGCTTAGACAGGTGAAGCCGGAAATCAGTTCGAGAGCTCTAGATCAGATAGATCATGGCCAAAGCAAGGGAGATGCAGCAGTTTGCCGGATCTAACTCAGGAGGAGAGCGGAGGACCAAAGCAGTAGATCAGAGAGACCTGCCAGGGCAACAGAGCACTAAAGGCTGTGGAGAGGCAGGAAGACAGGGAGGAGGACGGCAGTAGATCAGATAAGTCAGCTAGAAAGAAAGAGCAGGA